CTCAGAGCCTGACTTTGTGCAATTTCTAGCTGGTGAATAGTTGTTTCGTTGAGGCCTTGGTAAACGCTACACATCCATATAGAAGTAACGATCGAATTATAACAGTTCCTGCTCTTAGCATTGATCACAAATTAAGGCAATCATATCCATGTCATCGGGTGGTTGAATTTTATAATTTAGATGCGCAAATAAACTTGTCCACTATAATTAAAAGGAATTATTAAAATAACAAGAGAACACAAATTTTAAAATAATTTTTATATTAACGTCATACATGATTAAACAGGAAATTTAGTTTTTAGGAAAGCCATTATAATCAACACATAATGACATAACGACACAGTATTTTTTTTTAAATTAATACTTTTTAAATAATACATATTTGATGTATATCATTATTAATTTAATCCCTAAAATTTATATCTAACATTGAAGACATAAAATAATTTAATTTTTGAACGTCTAGATGAAACATGTATAAACTGAAAATTATAAGTGTAAAAATGTTAAAACTTTAAATTACAACAAATCAGTTTTTCAGATTTTTAATTTCAATTCATTTAAAATTACAATTTTTCATATTTACAAATTTCTGACCATCTTAGTGATTGTCCAAATATTAAAATATTTAAATTGCAAATATATTTAAATAAACGACTCTTGACTATGTTTACAGACAATTTTTAATACTACGGAAATTATTTAACAATTTAGGACTTAAATAAATGTATAACAGCACAATTAAAAAAATAATCCTTTAAGAGTAACGGAGCAAGTAATTGCTTGACAGTGATTAATGACCCTTAAAGCGTCTGTATGCTTTTCGAAAGTAATTTTATTTTGTATATTGCAATTGTTTTAGCACTTCGAACGATTGGCTATATTTTTCAGTATATTGAGGTTCTTTGGCAATTATGTTTTATCGCCGGTACTATCCCTCCAAAGCTAGGACAGCATCACGCGTGGTCATCCCACATACTTGTGTACATGTCAAATAGGGTTGTTGCGTTTATTTGAGCGTAAACGTGCTAGTCCCGTACGTTCCTCCTCTTCGTCACTGGTATACTGTTGCATACCAGACCCAGCACAACCACCACGTACCGATGATGTGGCTTGTAACAATTCCTGATCCGGCGCATTACGGTTTTCATAAAGCAGCACTTGCAATGTTTCTTCATAGATTCGTGCTTCTGGAAATTCTACCTTAGTATGCTTACGGTCAGTGGCATATACAATAGAAGTACAACACACTTCAGCCACTTTTTTGCCATGACCATAGAATGACCAGCAACATATTTCGCTAGGACCTATTACATCTTTAATGAATAAAATACGTTCGTTGAAACGCAATGAGAGTTTGTCGAATAATTCAATATTTTTCAGTAGATTGTCATCTGATGCACTTGTGTAAGAATACTTGTTATTTTGCCGTTGCACCACTAAAATAACCGCGGGTTTTGATGATGAACTGATAAGCATTTGTTCCTCCTTTTGGGATGTTATCAATGGTATGCGACAGATTGGTTTAGGTTCCTGATTAGCTAGTAACGCGCGTTCACATGACATGGCCAATTCTGTGATGCAGTAATATTTGGCCTCAGCCAGAAGCTCCGCGATTTCTTTATGCGACTCCGGCAGTGGCACAGTGCCATCACGTAAGTAATTGAGTATTGTACCGAAATGATTACCGCAACGGTCAATCAAAATCCAACCTATAAAAAATTTGAATGTATTCAATTTGTATTCACTATTGTGTAATATGATATAATATAAATAATGTACAGTCGATGCAATATGCTCTGCTGGTTTCGTATTTCGCGCTGCCTTCGCTTACGCGTTATAAACAGCGCCCAATTAGTCATACATTATCAGCCTCTGGCACTTATCACTTTGATTTTTTAGCCTTAATTTTTATTACTCACCCTCTGTATCGGTTAAAACTTCCATTCGTCCACTGAACATAGCACTCAACATGGTGTCATTATGCTTCGTAAGTGTTCCAATGGTCGTGTAATAGAGCCTACCGCCTACGTTCAGTTTTACATATTGTGATGGATGGCCTTTTAGCATTGTTTGATTACCGGACATTTTATTACTATTTGCAACTAAAACTAATTGATCTGGAGCGGTCGTTAACTGCACTATTTTAACTTCCTTAGCAACTGCGCCAGTACCAGGGGTGGAGCTGGCACTGCTCGTACTAGCAACTATTAAGGAATCAATTTTGGCGTTTTTTTTAAATAAATATCTTAATTTTATTTTTTATTAATTAACTTTTCTCTACTTATCAGTATCTATTCAGACCGTGCTGTGTATATCGGTGGTTAATTATTTTTCCAGCAGCTCGCAGTTTGTGCACAGAACAAAATATATTGAAAAACAAGAACCGTCAAGTAATTAAGCAGCCCATCGAACCGATATAAACTGTAACTTATCAATAGCCAGTGATTTATTCTGGCTATGCAGTGCATCGATGTGAAGTACAGAGTTAAAGCTGGTGGGAAATTGTTTAAACACGTTTAAAAATTATTTTTTTAACATTATTGGATATATATTAATATTTAAACAAAAAGAATGTGGTACGCATATTATTATCAATGACTTTTTAAAAATATTTATTTTGTTGAATAGTGAAAACGCTATGTTATACAGACAGTTATGTGATTAATGATCATGGCAATTTTGTACTTTTTTTAGTCATTATCCAAATGCATATTATCCAAATATTTTGATCACTTTTGGTTGTGCCTAAATTTAAAAAATAATGATTATTGTTTGGATAAGTTAACCATGTTTTCATTATGGATTTTGCAAATCCTGTTACCAAAGCTTTATCATTTCAAAATAGACATAATAAAATTCGAACTTTAAATGAAGGTTGGTTTGATTTGACATATTTTCTTGAGTACAATGCTGAAAATAATATGTTATTGATAAGGTTTAGGTGCAAAAATAGCGATATGACAGATTTTTAAAATGATATTTTGATAGTGCCAACTTTGTTCCAACCGTTTTTTTTTTCCTTTCAGAATTGTAAAAAAGTAATATTAAGTCTGGTTGATCAAATGATTTTTTTAACAAATATTTATTGCGTTGTGTATAATATGAAAAATAAAAATTCTGAACACTAAAAATTAATTAACTTAAATAAAAGTATTATATTCTTTATATATAATACAATACAATTTAATATTAATAATAATAATAATTACGGCACGGCACGCTTACTCCTTTGAGCACAACGACGAAACACACATTTTGTATTTTTTCCTTTTTTATCTATTTCTTTATACAGGGTTGCCATGATCGAATATACTACAGAATTCATTGTATCGAAATATGGTATTACAAATTACGCCAAATGATAAAGATAAAGTCTCTTGAAACAATTAGCACAACAAACTTATATCTTCGTTTCAGTGAAATTTAGTTGTTTTTCCAATACACAATTCAATTTTGGGATTAAAACGAAATTAAGGAAAATGTCCTGAAATTAAGAAACATTTCAAATGCAATTATTTGTAAGATACATTTTTAGCTAAAGATAAAGTTAAGATAAAGGAAAATGGACATTTTTTTATATAAATGTTAATGAAAGTTGACTTTCATGAAACCGGGAAATTATTTTGAAAGTAAATTTCAAATTTGAATATAGAGAAAAAACTTTACCGGTTATTAATTTAAAATAGAGTGAAAAATATTAATTCACATACCTAAAGTCCATTAAAACTATTTAATGCTATGCTTTATAGTTATTATAATCAACTTTTAAAATTTCCTGGATACAAATGATGTTTAGAGCATGTAATTTTTATCATTCGATTTGTAAATAAAAAATACATGATTTCCTTAATTTGGTGCAGCATGAACACTTTCGAAATTAACTTAATTTCATTTTTACGAAATTAAGGAAATTTGGCTGTCTGAACATAGCAGTAGAGTGCGTTTAATACTGCTTGAAAGTGTAAGCAGCGCATAAGTAGAGTAAATATAAACATAACAAGAAAAACAAACCGCAGAAACATATGAGTTAGGCGCGCTGTTGCATTTCATATGAATTGTGAACTAAAATTCATTTCGCGGAATAAATATCAAGAATAAAATATATATATTCATGACCAAACACAATGTTTAGCGACATTTCTTTACTCATTTTAAGTGAATTCAGCGACGACGAAAGTGATGAAGAAAATTTATTGGATTCGTCTACGGATTTAGGCTCATCTTCAGAAGAAGATGAATATCTGGAAAATTTGCTTTGCGATTCGTACAGCTTTAGGCGACATCATGCTGAAAACATCACAAGGGATGCAATACCTACATACACAAATAAAGAATTCCAAATTCATTTTCGTGTGAACAGAAATGTGTACAATTTTCTAATAGAAAAATTTAAAGACTCTGAGGATTACAAAAGTCTAAGAATGGATAAAGTGATCTCAGCGGATACACATATTGCGTTGTTTTTATGGTTTGCAGGTCATAGAGAATGTTCCTTCCGAGATATTGCCAATCGTTTCCATATATCTATCAGTACAGTTAGTGCCATAATAAGTAGAGTTACTCACTTCATTAGCAGTCTCTCGGACGCAGTAATAAAATGGCCAAATTATACCGAAAAATTAACCTCATCTGCTTTTTTTGCTGCACAACATATTGGTGGAAGTTTCGAGGAAGCTATAGGTTAAAAATTTTTACTTTAGTAATTAAATAATATACAATATATATATAATTTATTTTTAGGTGTATTGGGTATGACTCACATACGAATTATTCCTCCTAAAAGTGATAAAAACCAGTACATTAATTGGAAAGGCGAAAGCACTATACAAGTGCTAGGAATTTGTAATGAAAGAAATGACTTTATTTACATTTTTGCGGGACTTCCTGGTGCTGTTCATGTGCATGAAGTGCTTGAAAGATCTGATATATATCCAAAACTGTCATCGCTCTGTGGTGATTATTATATATTAGCTAACTCTTCATTTGCTTGTACAGAAAATATCATAACTCCATACATCGACAATGAGCAATTGGGTGCACGTCAAAAGAAATTTAATGATAAATTGAACGCTTCTCGCATCATCATCGAACATGCATTCACTATGCTTAAACGAAGATTTCCACAATTATACTTCTGCAAACTAAAGGGAGTAGAAAAAGTATGCCATTTCGTAAGAGCCTGTGTTGTTCTTCACAATCTCTGTGACGAGAATTTTATTAGAGTTGGAAGTGACTTTAAAGTGACTGATATAAATCAAGATATGGAACCACCTAACACAACTGAAATGTCCATTTGGCGCCGCAACCAGTTATGTTACAAAATGTTTAGATCTAATGCAAAATAATTGACATTAACTGTAATTAATAGTTTTTTGTATATACAAATATTTTTAAGTGGTATATAAGTAGCGATAGTAGTATTTTGTAAAAAGCAATAATATAAAATACAATTTTTAATTTATTTATAATTTTATGTAGCAGTCAATTAAAATAAATTGAGGTAATCAATGCTAAGAACAGGAAACTGACATATAACCAAATAATTCGTCCGTCACTACTATATGGTTGTGTAGCGTTTAGCAAGGCCTCAACCAAACAACTATTCACCAGCTAGAAATTGCACAAAGTCAGCCTCTGAGAAGACTTTTCAAGGTACTATCCTCAATGACATCCTCAGGGACCTCAAGATTGATCCAATCAAAAAATACATAAAGGATAGAGGCCTGAAATTATATGCGAAAATTGACAGACTTACCAACACCGCGTTATCAAATCTCAGAATGGTTACAGGCTCCTCGGGAGATATGCAGATCTGAGGTCAATTATTGCTTAGTCTGATGAAGTGATAAACAATAATCCAGTCAAGGCGTAGAGGGGTTTTAAAAAAACGTCGAGTTAAGAAAGAGTAAAAGGGCTCAAGTGCACAGGCTCAAATAGAAATAAATAAATAATAAATAAAGTGAGGTAATCTACGAATATATATATATATATATAAATGTTTTACGACATTACTATATTCTATACTATAGTTACTTATTATTAACACATCATTCATATTTTGATTGTAGCGAACATATACGAGTAATACAAATTTGTAGACAGAATTTAAGTTTAGTAAATACCTTCACCTTTTTTGACACAGTTTTCTGTGTCATGTTGTTGTTGTTGTAACTCGCCGGGACCTGCTTGTGGAGTCCCTTTGAGAGGTGTTGAACGGTACTTGGTCGTCGTAGGTGGCGAGTGGCTCCGGGACGTAGACTCGACCATCCTTGGAACCTTCCTGTGTCATAGATTCATTTTTTCCCATACATTCATTAATCAAAGTTTGATGAACTTTTTCATCCATTCTCACACTTTCATGATTGTGAATTAAATAATCTGGGTATTTAGTTGTATCAGGATTTTCTTCTCCTTCTTCGTCTTTTCTTCTTTTCGTCGCCATTTAACTTTCAATCATGTCGATAACACCCCAAGTTAAGATTGACTTCATTTGAAGTATTATAAGAATGACTATGCATGCCACTCGATATGTGGTTAGTTTCAGTTTTGCTGAAGTCTACTACTCTTTTATCTTCTGCGAGGCACGATCAAATTACTCGCTTAACTCTCATATTTATTTTTATTATTAGAAGGGACAAATGGACACTGCAACCTGTAAGATCTATTGTGCCATCTCTGACGAAGGGTTCTTCAGTTAATCGATACAATTTAATGCTATTGTCAAATCTAACAATATCATTCGTTTCAAGACTAACGTATGAGAGAGTGGGTTACTTATGTTCAAAATTTCCTAAAATATTTCAAATTTAATGGATTTTTTTTCAAACATTAAATAAGTTTTCAAAACCCTTCGTTAAAACCCATCAAAAACCATGAACTACATAACTAAAAAAAAAAAATTTTAATTCTGAAACTTATTTCCTGATCTTATAATAATAAAAAAATTGTTTTTAATTTATAAACCGGGCTTGAATTAAATTTTTAGATCTGTTCTGAGGACTGTTATGATCGTAGTCCCCAATTGATTATTACTACCTGTTGCTGCTTTGTGCTGTTCAAAATTGATTATTAGCAAGCTCGTTACTCAAGATCGTGAACACCCTTAATATTTCTATGCAAACGGACGCGTTGTTATCTGTTCGAGGAATAATATAAATTTTAAGAACGGAGTGAAATCGTCTGAAAAGTGTGCTATGTATTATGTTCTTAATCATGATTATAAGTCAATTTGCTGTTGTCGTAATTTGACTTGGTGATTTTGTAACTCTTAACCCACTTTATAAATTATTTACCCATAAATCCATTTATCTTATAAATAGTGAGACCCCAATCGGAGTGGTGAGGACTTCATTCTAAACAATAATGTTAACTGTATGGTTTGTATTTAATATTATATTGAACTGTTTTTCGGAAGGCATGCTAATAAATTCAAAATAATGTAATATCCATTAAATTCATATTTTTTCTTTTATGTCATCTTTTGCTTTTAATAGCTCTTAGAACAATATTTATTTGAACATGAATAATTTTTTCTAGGAAACTCCATTAGTGAAATTAATGTCAATCACATTTATCTTCTTATTTTCCTTTTTAACAGCTCCCACCGATTCAACACCAATTAACAACTCCATTTATTTTTATTTGTATTTTTTAAGAATATTTAAGTGGACGTTCGAATATGGAACACTGAAACTTTCTGATTTAGAGGCGATCGGGCTAAGTACTGTGCAATTCCAAATGAAGGCAACAACCATGTTTTCAATTTAAAACATTATAGTAGAGATTTAATAATCTTCTAATATATCTACTAATACGAGTTAAGAATAATAATGACCAAAAAAAATTTGTGTACATTAAAGATATATCTTCTCTATAATTTTTAAACATTTCAATAGGAGTTCGTAGATCTAACTGTATTCATTTTTCTGTTCTATAAATTAATAGTGATGAAGTCTTTCATAGTTCATACCTGTTGAACATCCACTAGTATTTTGTTATAATATTGAAAATGTTTATGTAGAGATTTTCTGTAGAACTTTTTAAGCACAAGAACTTTTTGGTGCTGTTAGCTGTCACATTTTCCCTTGTTTGGTATTATTTAATCCGCGATAGCTAGCAATTCTATTCCTTTTTATGTAATGGTTTTAGTTTTTGGTTTAGCTACTTATTATAACAATTTACTGCACACTTGAAATTTAATTTTCATATCTAGTAGGACATTTGTAGTACATATATTACTTTAATAAATGATCCGAGATAGCTCTTTTTTAATTGATTTATAAAACAATTAGTGTCACATTGATGGTAATTTTTCTTCTTCAGATATATCACGAAAGTAGATGATTTCAGTGAAATAATTTCTAATGAAATATCTATAAACAATGGTTGGTTTGAGGGTCGCACTGGCAGATGAGCAGATATTCATTTTCCATAACTAGGGATCATTCGCCGTTTTACTACTACTTTTCTCGCAAGAAACTTACAGACCCATCCTGTTGAATTTAAGTACAGATTGAACAGATTGTTCGTCATTACATTTACCGACAAACAGTCTATAAAAAATATTCTTTATTTAAGTAAGTAATTAAACAGATCTTTCCTCATTACATTTACCGACAAACAGTCTGTAAAAAATATTCTTTACGATATTTATATTGAATGTCTCTGGAAAATAGTAGATTAATTGGTGTATATTTTTGAATTATAATAAACCATTATCTAAATGGAACTGTTTTCAGACCCGTGTATAAAATCTGGTACCTTCTTTGTACAGACCAAACCAATAAATTAAAGTTTTACCTCAACTGCCAATCAAATTCCTAATTGTGACCGGAGTAAGTTGATACCTTAAACTTCGGTTTTAGAATAAAATTAATTGAACCAAGTGTTTGCTAAATCGGCAAAAACTTTAGTTGGATTTAAATATTGACACTAAAAAAAAAATAAAGGAAAATTATTTATTAAATGAATATTTCTTTTAAAACCAACACACATAACTTAAAATCATTACTTTTTATTTTAAATCAGAACTTAATTTTACGTTTATATATTGTGGATTCGTATATAAATATGTATTTTGTTTTTTTTTATCAATATTATTTTACTTTCATATTTTTACATATATTAAAACACCTATTGCTTTCATAGGTGTGCGTTAATCTATATATAATATTATATTTATATATAAATGAAAGGTTTCAGAAATCTGCAGTGGGTATTCACATTTTTGTGCAATTATCTACTAAAAAATAATATATAAAATAAAAGTAAAAAATAGAAGAAGTAATAATAGGAAGATTACATATTTAAGAATTAAAAAATTAAAACTGCAAGAAATAGTCGACAAAATAATGCTTACAGGGAATAATTCAGTTATATGGCTGAATTAGTTTAGCGTGATCCACTGTTAAATTCTGACAATGATTTATTTAGTTGAATAATAATTACATTCCAAACTTGGAAAAAAAGTTGCTTTCGGAAATGTCTACCAAGTTTAAAACCAATCATCTCATATGGGTATGAGTGGTTGTAGCTTTGATTATTTAAACAATAACATAATTGATATAAATAATTTGTTTTAAATTAAGAAGTAGCTTCTGAGCTTTAGAAAACAAACAGAGTTTGAAATAAAGTTTTCAAGAATCGCGTTTGATTCTAAAGCAGTGTTTCTAACGTAAAGCGTACGCCACATAAAAATTCTAGATAGTTTAGTTTCTACAACTTCTATATAAAATTTAGGCTTATTTTTAATATCTCATATAAAAAGATACAGTTAGATAATGATACTAACTGCAGATATCTGAAAGCTGTTTTTGTTAAATTATAATGCAATTAGATAATGATTTTGTTGTCATGTTGAACAAAACTGTTACCTTAAATTTGAATTATTATCATTTTAATTTAGTTTAGACCTTATTGAAATAAGTAATATAATTCCTGCTGTTACTACAAACATACAACACAATATAGACAAAGGAAAAAACTAAGAAGAATTAAATACCATTAAAAATTCTTAATTAAACATAAGTTGGTATTTTCGCAGTAAATATATATTAATGACTTTCTTAAATAACATTTATGTGCTTACACCGAAGACACTGGAACTCCTGTTTCACTTAAGTCTGTATTGACGCTGTCACATTCCTTCGACACTGTTTCGTTTGTGGCATCTGTTGAAGTGGTTGCCGCAGTACCACAGCTACTGCTAGCAGTTATTTTGTTGGCAGATGCTTCAGTTGAGGAACACTCCCCATCAGTCTTCACGCGTTTATTGGCATTTTCGGCTTCATTACTTTCAAAGGTAGGTGAAGCACAACGCTTCAGCGGATTAAATGCGGCAATATCTGTACCATCAATAGCCGCATCCTGTGCAATTAATGCATCCTCTGTTTCTTCGGGGTTAATTGTTGATTCAAGTTCAAGTATT